GTTGAGACGCCAAATGTTGTTTTGGCCGAAAAGTTTAATGATCACTTCACTTCAATTGCTGATTCACTGAGGAATCTACTACCTAATGTACCTTATTGCAATTCAAAGGTTGAAAACTTTGTTTGTTCAAGAAAAGATCCGGATGTTCTTTTCAATATTCCTCCTGTTACCAAAGATTTTGTGCTGGGTGCTCTGTTAGGACTTAAAACAAACAAAGCTATGGGTATTGACAAGATAAGTGCAAGATATCTGAAAATAGCAGGACCAGCTATTGCTTATTCAATTACTCAAATCTTGAATATTTCAATTAATTCTGGTGTATTCCCTGATTGTTGGAAGATAGCGAAAGTCATTCCGTTGTTTAAATCTGGGGACCGTGAGGATCCTGACAATTATCGACCCATTTCGATATTACCTGTTTTGTCAAAGATTCTGGAACGTCATATACACGATCATCTCTATAATTACTTATGTGAAAACAATCTATTGTACCCTTTACAGTCAGGTTTTCGGAAACACCATGGAACAGACACTGCTCTTATACGAGTCATAGACAATTTGTTATTTAATCTAGACAATGATCAAGTCAGCGGTCTTCTTTTAGTTGATTACAGGAAAGCTTTTGATATGGTTGACCGTGAAATTCTTTTGCAAAAGCTGAATGCCTATGGTTTAACTCCAGTTGCAAGTAAATGGTTTAGTTCATACTTGACTGATAGACATCAATTTATTGCTATTGATAATGTGACATCTGACTCTACTCTTGTGAGGCATGGTGTTCCACAGGGTAGTATCCTTGGCCCTTTACTTTTTGTCATTTATATCAATGATTTGCCTCTACATGTTAATGGTGCTGACCTGGATCTCTATGCTGATGACACCACACTGACATTATCGGCAGATATCTCAGCGGTTGATTCTCTACAAGATTCACTAGCTGCTTCTTTGAAGGAAATTGAATGCTGGACGCACACCAATAAACTTCCTCTCAATGAAAAAAAGACTAAAACACTACTGGTCACAGGCAAACGCCTTGGGAAGAAACTACCAGATGGTTATAATTTATCTCTTAAAACTATGAATGGTGTATCATTGGAACAAGTACCCTCAGCTAAACTTCTTGGTATAGACATTGACCACGATTTATCAATGAACACTTATGTTGACAGACTGTGTAAAAAAATTTCACAAAGAATTGGAATTTTGAATAAGATCAAACTTTGTTTACCATTTAACCAAAGACTTTTATTTTATAATAGTTTAATTAAGCCATTATTTGATTATGCCAATGTTGCATGGCAGTCACTTTGCTCTAATGAATCTCTTTTAAGAATACTTAGGCTACAAAAGAGAGCTGCTAGGGTTTTATTAGATGCTGAACCACGTAGTTCATCAGTTATGCTATTCAATCGTTTAAAGTGGATACCATTTTATGACTCTACTAAGATGGCTAAATGTTCAATACTATTTAAAAGGATTAATTATTGTGTACCTAATTATCTTAATGATAGCTTAAGATTATTAAGTTCAGTACATTCACGCAACACTAGATTTTGTAAATACAACTTTTTATTACCTAAGTTTAAAAGGGCTAGAGAAGGAGGGAAAACTTTTCTAGTTTCTGCCATAAAATTATGGAATCAGTTAAAGCCTGAATTAAAAAAGTCTAATACACTTAAGGCCTTTAAAGACAACGTATTTAAATATTACTATAAGGACCAATCATGCTTAGCTCATTTTAATCCGTAAATTTTATTGATAGTAGTTTTATATATTCTTACTTGTTTTAGCTAATTTTCTATTTATATTTCATTCTATTAATGATTCTATTGTATTTATATATTTATTGTAATTAGGAGGACCACAAGTTTATTAGTGTTTGTGCACTATCACGTGCTATCCTCAATAAATAAAGTCTTTCTTCTTCTTCTTCTTACGTTTACGTTAAATTTATTTTTGTTTGTTACAATAACAATACTTCTAACGATACTACCCTGATAATCATCTCTGCAATTCGGGAAAGTTTGATTTTGTTCTTCTTAGTGACCGAGACAAAACATCTGCCAACATTATCAAGACAAAATCTAGTGGACAAGTGATGATAGCAAAGAAAAATATAAATTAAGGGATTACTAGAAAATCCAATATCAAATTCTCCAAATTAACGTCACAAGAATCGTATGAAAAACAGTAAGGATAATTTCTAATGAGATCTAGGGATAAACAACAAATTGATGTTTGTTAATGTTATTATTTTCCAGAATGGCTACGCATACACATGTCGGCGGTTACAGAAAGTACTTTGGAACTCGATTTGCTGATCTGTCACCAGCCACAACAACAGAAGATCAAATCAGGGATGTATATAACGATTGGGCCAATAAGTATGATGAGGTGGGTTGATGATATCTATATTTATCCATTTCCTTATTTATCCATTCATCTAGTTATCTATCACACTATTTGAGTTTGTTCTCATAGAAATAAAACTCGTTTTCTTAAGGAAACTTTTACACGAGGCCTCATTTTGTGTGAGGCTTGTTGAAACTTAAGAAAAATTAAAATATCAAATGCCTTTGCCTGCTCAAGTTGTTGGGTAATCAAAGCTGGGGAAGGAACTGGTCATAACGAACACGTAAGCAACTGAGATATCGACCACAGTACCATGGTTGATCCAACAAACACTCCATTTCGCTCTACATCTTTTATCTTGAGTAACAGATCGCAAATATCATCGAAAGCTAGAGAGAACAAAGATATGGCACACGAGCCTGCTTGGGTCAAACGCGAAAAAAAAAAACACTCGGATTTCCTTGAGCGATCAAACAAACTACGTCCAAATTTTTTAGACCGCGCATGTGGTGTATGATACGAGATCATTTTCATCTTCTGTGCTTTTATTGACAATGCGTCTTGACCAATAAAGGGCGGGAAAAGGAAATGGAAGGAATAGCTGTGACAACAGTGATCCGCTAGATATTTGAGATTATGGTTGTACTATAAATTTTGATTGCGAAATCCTGCGAGGAACAAAAAATATATCTATTTTACATTAGACATAGTTAGAAGCTACACTGGTTTGCAGATTTAATGAATGTAACCGAAGAAGTTACAATTCATAGACCCAACTTTTCGACACTCCTGTCTAGTGCCTTCATCAGGGGTGATCTAAACGCTGCAACAAGAGGTCCTTTTATATGATCACTAATTAGCGGCCTTTTTTCTGACGAGGTGTAAATAGGCGTCAGGAAGCAGACCGCCATCGTCACGATTTAAAGGAGCGTGGGCGGAGTTAATGTGCCAAGCCTCCAAACAAAGGCGCTGGTGGTAACGCCGATTAGTAGTGATAATTTTAGAATTATCCCACCCAATTGTATGGTTGGTTAGGCAAGTATGCTCCGATAAAGCTGAATTTTCCTTTTTTAAATCGTGACGATGGCGGTCTGCTTCCTGACGCCTATTTACACCTCGTCAGAAAAAAGGCCGCTAATTAGTGATCATATAAAAGGACCTCTTGTTGCAGCGTTTAGATCACCCCTGATGAAGGCACTAGACAGGAGTGTCGAAACGTTGGGTCTATGAATTGTAACTTCTTCGGTTACATTCATTAAATCTGCAAACCAGTGTAGCTTCTAACTATGTCTGATTGTCCACCTGGTTGCCGTGTGAACTTTAATATATTTTATTTTACATTAATTTGAGTTTGGTGTGAGCTGTTTGTCAAAACATCTTTCAGGAAGTCGTGGTAAAAGCACTCTTGGTCTGTCATCGACCACAAGCTGAATGCTTAGACGCTGCCATCAAACAATACTTGAACAAACCGAAGGATGAAGTCAAGATTATCGATTGCGGGGCTGGCACTGGTCTGTGTGGAGTTGAGCTTCACAAACTCGGCTACACTCATCTGTGTGCTCTGGACATCTCATGTTGAATGAAGCAAGGAAGAAAAACGTCTACCAGAAATTCATCTGCGCTCCATTGAACTCTGATCAGAATCCTGAAGTTATAACTGGAGAATACGACGCCATGATCTGCATTGGTACGCTGGCTGCTGCGCATGTCAAACCAAATGCTCTGGTGGAAATGATTCGCATGATCAAGATTGGTGAGATTCTGAATTATTCTTTTCTTTTGAAATTGGCAGGCGAGTGGGATTATTATCACAATGAAGGAGAAAGTAAGAATCAGAGATTTGCTTCTCTTTTCAGCCTTCATCTGCATCAAAAATCTAAGTTAGTGACCAAACAGTAAAAGAGAAAATATTGAGCGCACGCTCGCCAAAAACACTTTCTCCACTCGAATTCTGATTCAGTTGAAATATGTGATCCCGACAAATCCGTCATTGTCACGAGGAAATAAAATGATATCTCTTAATTTTAGCCCCTCCTTAAATTTACTTTTTTTCTGTTTAACCAAACTCCTGTTGCTGAGTAACCCAACCAGCCCTATTCTATTCTCTACCACCAAATGAAGCTATAAGCTGCATAGGTAAAATATCAAGTGGGAAGACCTGTCACTAGACCTTAGCAGGCATTCAACGATGAAAGCGACATAAAAGCCAAGTAATCACTAAGAAAGAGACGATTTTATCAAAGACACAATAAGAGATATTTTTGTCAGGGGCGAATTTACAACGTTATACAAAAACTAGGAGACTCTCATGAGATCAATTCTGGAACAGTCTTTTTAAGATTAATATGCTGTATTGCTTCCAAACATCATTCATCTGAAATCACACCACCAACATAAAGGGTCTCACAAGAAGAGTGAGTGGATTAGATTCCTGAGAATTTTTCCACGAGCTTTTCAAAATGACTTTTTGTCATTTGCATTCGCCTGTTCTTTCGCCCAGTTTTTTCTTTCTGAACCCTAGTTATCACTTCTGCGCGGTAAATTGTAATATATAAAATATGAAAGTTACTTGAGGACAGTAGGGGTCAGTGCTTGCAAAATTCAATATATCACCTCAAATCATTCCGTTTCCTTTTGTGTGTATTTATTCAAATATTGATCTTTTTTTTTTCCTAAATCGTAGATGGTCTTCTCAGCTTCAACATTCGATTTGGTGAGCTTGAACGATATCAGCCAATGATGGAAGAATTGGAGAAAGAGGGAAAGTGGGTGAATGTTGTCAAGGAAACGATTCCCCATTTCCAGACAGACGACATGCCTCAAACCTCGTCATTTTTTGTCTACAAAATCCTGAGGCATTAGTAAAACCACTAACTTGAACTCAACAAAATTTGATTACAATATTATTATATTATAATGTGCACCGTCTCACACTTGGCGGTTGTATTAGGCCTTACAAAAACAAGAAATAAATAAATTACAGGAAACGTGTTATTTCTTGCATTTTGATAAGAGAAGGTGCATGGCCGGAATTTGACTCTCCTGTAACGATCAGGGATAATATTTTGATCGAGTTCTTTCCAAAAAAGAGACTCTGATTGCTTGTAGAGGTATTGATTCGCCCACGGCAGCAGAACGTCGGGAATTTTTACCCTTGGCTAAACAGAGCTTTAAAAGCGGTCCACCTGTATTATGCAGTCACCCCACCTTTTCCCATTGGTGATCGCTTAATACAGGTTAAACTGTTTTCCATACCTATTTATTCGAAGTCGGCTTTTATTGTGCAACGTTAAAATTTCGTTGTTATAAACATTCGGAAGCTTAGTAAGGACGTCTTTATCCCAGTCTCAGTCACAGCGGTATCATTCAGAACGCCACGCTTTCCATTTGCACAATCACCTCGCAGAATCCAAGACTTGACATATAAACAGGAAAGTTTCTCTAGGCATGTCATCGCTTTCAAAAAATGGCAATGACCTTTTTGAGATTAATTTCCACGATCCCAATGACTCTAATTCCGATATCTTCTCTTGATAGTCCTCTAGTTGCCCATCTCGGATGTTGAAACATACCAAACCACCTGAAAATAAGCAAAACGTCCAAAATCTTAAAGTTTATAGCTTATAACCCTTCAACCTTAAGCTTCTAATTTCTTTCAACAATACCGTCCCTGAATCAAACAATACGGACATGAGAATAAAGGAAATGATCGAGAACTGGAGACGCCCGACGAATTCTCCCTGTGTGTACCATGTGAAATGTAGGGAGAAAAGTATGGAGAGTATGCATGCTGATCCTAGGAAAGGGGGGGGGGGTGGGGGAAGGGGGAAACAGGCGCGTTAGCAAACGAAAAAAACTGGGAACTAAGCCTGTTTCTATTGAGGTTTTGTTTTCGCTTTTGTTGTCGTTTCTACTGATGTTGGTTGCTCCGGTGGTGCTGCTACCACATGTTCATCCCGATTAAAGTAAGATGAAAACATACTACAAAAATTGTAAACACAAACTTTTTGATTCAGATATTGTGAAAAAAATTTGACATGTTTTGTCAAATCACTAGTATTATTTCACAATAATTTCAAGTGTCGAACTTTTTTCATAATTTGAGTTCGAGTGCTAGACGCACCAAACAATCGATGTCAATATTGTATCATTTGTAGCTTTCAATTGCCGTAATCCTTTGTTTAATTAGCTTATAAAGCTCTTATTAACTGAGTTCGAGGTCCCCAATGTAAGTTACGGACCAAGGTTTTCCCACACGAATTTATGGCCCATAAAAACGGCAAAGAAAACGAGATTCCGTAACTTGCAGTAAGGACCAGAAAAAAACGCGGTTAACAAGATGTTCACTATATTTCTGGGTTCAAATAGAGGAAAGAGGAAGATTTCAGTTCAAACAAACTTTTGAATTTAACGGGCCGTGCAGTAAATACGCCCGCTAAATTGACCAATCAAGGTACCTACGAACTGAGAGATAAAATAAAATTTGTTACAATTGTTATCTTCCCTTGTTTTTTTGTTTGTCTACTCTTCGTTTTTGTGATAAGTATTTGGCAAAGGCGGAAGTAAGCTTACCGATTTTTATTATTCTGATCATCTCTATGAGCGCCGATGGACCGATGTGTCCTACAAGCATTGAGCCCCCACAAATCAAAGCATCAAATTCTTCTGGTGCAATTTCAGGATTTGGCCTGTCACTTAAAGAGGAACATATAAACTTTGTGTAGACGTTTTTTTTCTTTGCTTCATCTAACATTTCTGGTGAAATATCCAAAGCACATAGATTGGTGTAGCCGAGTTTATTTAGTTCGACTCCAACCAGTCCTGTACCAGCTGCGGCGTCTATTATTTTCACGTCATCTTTTTCTTTCCCAGCGAGAAATCGCCGAATGGCTTCATCCAAAGACTCAGCCAGTGGCTTGTGGAAAATTGCGCGTGCCACAACAACAACATCCTGAAAGTGAAATTTGAACACAAAACTCAACCTTATGTAACATAGTAGACGTAAGGGACAAAAGAGCTTGAAGAAACTCACTGAGGGGAAGGCACTAAGAGTCTTGGATCACGTAAGCTTCTCCTTTAATGTACCATTTATTAATTAATTGAATTAATTATTTATTTATTAATTATTTATTAATTAATTATTAATTATTTTTGAGCCAGAGCTCGCTCTCCTTAATAATTAATTAATTAATTAATTAAGAGTCTTGGATCACGTAAGCTTCTCCTTTAATGTACCATTGCCTTGCTGCTACAGGGTCAACAGTTTTTCCTGCCTCTTTTCTCACCTTTCACTAACTTGAAATATACGATTGAAATATTCGATTATACGAAAGTACGTGATCGTCGCACGAAAAAGGAACTAAAGTGAGGTCCGGCTAACCATATACACATTTAATTAGTTTGGAAACTAATATTATATACATGAACTAGCTCAGTGATTACCTTTTCATATTCCTTTGCCCAGTCGTCATAAATTTGTTGAATTTCGTTCTCGGTCGTTTTATGAGAAAGATTGGAAAGTCGACCCCCGTAACACCTTTTAAAGCCTGCTTGGTAAGACTTTGCAGCCATTCTAAAATTAAATAAAAATACATGAAACGAACGAATGATTGAAGGGTGGATGAAAAGAAAAGAAAAGAAAAATAAAACATAACTACATTAACCAGTGTATTTTAGGTGATCATAGACATATTGTGCTGCGTAAAAGGGGGGTATAACAAGATAGTTTGCTTTAGTATATACAAAAACACTGGATAGCGTTGAAGGCGCGCTCTGATTGGCTGCTCAAACTCCAAATATCCTTTGCTTTTCACCTCCGAGCAACGCGCGGGATTTGTACCCAAAAATATAACAATTGTTTCAGGAAAAAAGGAGTTAAAATCATCTCCTGTGCTTAATTATCTCACTGTTTTATCATAAACAACTATTCACGTCAGTGTCGGTGGCTAGCGGTTGATATTTACCTCGCTGCATCGCAGCTCGGTTAATATCCACCACTAGCCCCCTCCATTTCGGTGAATAGTTGTTTTAATGCTATCAACTTAGTTAATAATGTGATAAAGAGGTGTCAGGAGCCGGCAAGGCGTGAAACGACCGAAGGTTCTTCTATTGAATATATCGGATATCGGATGCCGCAGCACAAGCAAAATGGCTGCACAGTCTCATTCACAGGGCATCAACCAACAAAATTGTGTTAAGCTTTTTTCGATATTCTGATTGGTTGTCTAAACAAGTTGGAATAGCTAAAAAGATGCGAGAAGTGTTGCGTAAATGGACACCACGAGAGAAATATTTTAAATATCAAAATTTCCTGTCACAATTTCGTTTTTTATTATTCCAGGAATGTTTCGGCGAAATTTGGCGAGAATCGGTCGATCTAAATACCCTATAACTTCGCTCAAAGTGAATGTATTCCTCCCAAAATCAAATACAGCATTTTAGCTTATAAAGGTTCGTAAACAACTCGCTACATGCCAGGATACTATCTCGCCGTTAAAAATCTGTCATCATGTCACGTTTCCTAATGCGACCGGCTTTTCGCCAGTTTGGAAAAAATTGGAAAAACCGACCAAACTTCAAAGACGCCGTATTGCATGGGTGGGGCAGGCTGATTTTGAAAAAATCGAGGAAAACAAAGGAAGCCGCTTCCGGAGCTGTCATCGCTAATCGATTTGACCCATTGCAGGCTGATCCTACCTGTATCGGCGGGAACTTGTAATTATTATTACGCACGTGCTTCGGAATGGAAGGACGATATCCATATTATTATCCGCCCGGATCTTTTCCTGTCGACTTCAGGTATTACAACCATCCCCAGGTTCGACCAGACTTGCAACTGCCAGGGCCTAGCGGTGTTTTGGCAGTCGGAGACCCAGCTAGCCGATCCATCAGCCCAACAACAACATCGAGCAATAGCCCGAGTGGTTCGACCGACGGAACTGTGAACGATGCCCTAGATGTGGAAGCGGAAGATGCTGCTCAGTCCAATAGAAAGCAGTACGATAAATGGACAAACGAAGAGCAGAAAGCACTTATAAACCTTTGGACTGATCGACATGATTGGATTGCATGATTGGAAAGCAAAGACGCGCGGAAGATTTGGGAAGAAATTGCGCGGGAGATTAATCGAAGGTTTGGTACCACTCGCTCTGGAGAGAAATGCCAGAAGAAATTGAAATATCTCATCGAGAGATACAAAAAGGCCAAGGATTGGAACAGTCATCAGACGGGTGGACACAGATGGAAAACTGTCTTCTACGATGAAATAGATGCTGTTCTTGGATGCAGAGACGTTGTTACGTTACTTAACGTAGCCGAAGCGGGAGCGAGTGCATCAACTTCTGCCGCCAAGTCCGACGCAACCGAGTCCAAGGACAACGAGTTACTAGGACAAGACACAAGCCCAGAAGCTCGAACGGAGCGTAAAAAGAAACGTAAAAGAGCTAGACCTCAAGAAGGCGATGAAGAGGGAGACCTGATTAAAGCGTCCTTGGTAGGAATGGAGAAACAGCGAAAGGAAATGAACACAATGATGGAAAGCTTTACAAGGATGCAAGAGCAGCAAGCTAACACAACGAATGCACTAGTTGGGGCCCTGACAAATTTCTTACAAAATAGCGGCAACAACAACAAATGACTGAAACAGTGAATTTGCATCAATCTTATATAGAGACAACAAAGCGTTACAGTTCTTTATTTGAAATACATATATTTGTTACATTGTCGCTTCCGGAGAAGCTGTTTTACAAAACATGATTTTAAAAGCACTCAATGACTGACCTCGATTTATTTCGGAGTGTCTGGACGTTTAGACGTCAACATAAACCGTTATAGTTTTGACTTGAATATATTGACATATATTTTTTCAATTGTACAATGTTATTATAATTGTATAATCTCGTATGTGAAGAAATAATTTTTTTTAGCAATGGATCATTGTTGACAGAGTGATAATAAAGAAACCGAAACCAAACTTTGGGCAGCTTTAGTGTGGGTACACGTGAAGGTTTAAAGGAAGTCTTTAAGGATTTCTCTTATGTTATCCCCGTCTCCGATCACGTTTGGAGCTTGATCTCCAGGGCCAAAATCATCTTCCTCTTCCTCGTCGTCCCATTCATCCCCGCTTCTGATGCAGATGTTGTGCAACACTGCACAGGCTACAGCATTACGTACTGCAAATGGTATTCCACTGTCAAATCGTTTCAGGAGTATTCTCCATCTACTTTTTAAAACACCAAAAGCGCATTCAACCTTTACCCTTGCAGAGGAAAGTTCCTTATTAAACGCTATTTCCCTTGGGTCCCGTGTGCCCTCTGGATACGGTTTCATTAGCCATGGAGAAAGAGGATAGGCACTATCACCTAAAAGGTACGGACCTATGTCATGACCATTCACATTAACAGTTGGCTGGGCTAGGACATTCTTCTGTTCTGCTCTTTGAAAGATAGTGCTGCGCCTCAATACACGAGCATCGTGCATGCTTCCAGGATATCCACACGCAAAATCCATAAAAACCTTCTTGCTATCAACAATAGCTTGGATTATGAAGTCGTGCTGTTGATACCGACTAAAATAATCCGGTGCACTGTCGTTGGGTGCTTTAATTCTAATATGCGAGCCGTCAATAGCCCCAACGACATTTGGTAGGTTGGTAAGATCTCCAAACGTTGCAATCGATGAACTGACTTCAGCGATGGTCTCTGGGAATTTTATGTACTCGTCACGAAGTTCATAGAGACCTTTCACAACGTCTTGTACGGCCTCGATAACAGTCGATTTTCCTACATTAAATACCGGGCCAATGGTGGAATAAGAATTTCCGTGGGCCAAGCGGTATAGTCCCAGAGCAAGAACTTTTGCTGGAGGTATACAATCCCTGAACCGCGTGTTTCGCCTCTCTAATCTCGGGCCCAAGATATGGAGAATTGTTTCGAACGTGTTCCTGTTCACCCTTAGTTGCTGTCGAAAGTACTCCTCTGGAATTGCCGGGTCGTTATATTACGAACTCGACGGAAACGTCGTCGTCTTCTTAGAAGAGCAATGTTCAGCATTTCAAAATATTCATTTGCCCATCTCTGATACAGAATGAAAATGGCGAACATTTGCTGCTGTTGGATGTTAATATTTTGAAGAAGTAAAACGGCAATAGCCACGCAAAACGCCTGATTCGCATTCATGTTTACTAAAATACATTTGCCGCGCAGTTCGCGTGTTTTGATCTGAAATCTGATCAGTGATATGTAGTCTTAAATTGTAGTGCGACCCTGAAAATGTTCTCAAATTTTTGGCACTTCCGTTTGCGGTTTCAAATTTTTAGAAATTTTCGCGTGGGCCAATTTTTGTTTTTGACTGTAGTGCGACCCGGGCCTAATAGGAAAACGGGACCTCCTGGCGTCAATGACGATGGATAAAGACTTCTCGGCAGAAGTAACCCATGGCAGACACGTTTTTTGTCTCGATCGCTCAGTGGAGCGGTAAGGAAGAACGCCACAATAATGGGCAAAGTTGCCAAAGGCAAACGAAAAACTTGAAGCAAAAATGAAAAAATCGGAAAATGTGCTGAGGGGCAAGACAACGAATCAACATACAGCTCCCAAAATTACGATTCGAGGCGATTGTTGATGTTTTCGTATCAAGGCTGGTACTTGCATAAATAAAAGGAAACCTCGTTTCAAAATTTATGTTTGACATTTTGTTTTGTTCGTAATCCGGATGACAGCGTGGAGCTCCGCCAGTACCAGTTGCTTTCACAAAGGACTTTTTTTTTTTTACCAAAGGCTTTCTTCCGCTTTCGATTTTTTCTTGAGTTAAGAGTTTTCCATAAACAAAAAGTTTGCACGTGTGAATTTGTTATGTACGCGATGCAAACTAAATATGCAAATAACATGAAAAACGAGCCGCAAGATGAGCAGAAAATTCCCTCAGGGGATGCTTCTGACACCTTCCTGATTTATCAACTTATAACTCAAAGTACGTTTTTTAAAATAACTCGGGTGCTTTTCGGGATTTTAAACCTTTTTCTCTTGGAAACGTTAGGTAGAATGTTTGAAGTCTGTTTAGTCAAATAAACATTATCATCATTGATTGAGACATTTGTATTTTAAGTTTTCGTTTTTCATTACATTGCGTGACAAGCGTGACAAGCATTACATTGAGTGATGTGACGAGAAAGATGGCGGAAATTATCTTGATCATGCACGCATTAAATTTTATTCAAACATCTGTAACTTTGCAAAACAAAACAGCCAAACGGTCCGCTACGTGCTTTTCTTATCAGTGTAAAGGTTAGACGTTCTGACGTTGCAATCTGTTTGGAAACCCTTCGAATTCCTGCTATTCAGGTAAGTTGGAAAGAGAAGATGTGCTTCGTTGCATTTCGAATGCTTGAATTGAAATAGTCACTAATGTGAACTTGAGATCACTGAAATAATATTATCAGGGATAAATTCCTAATTTTTATATCCCAAGAAAGTCCACAAGGATAACGTAACTGTTCACATTCTTTAGAAACAGATGCGGAAATAAAATTCGACGACAATTTGTTAGGAGATCTATTAACCGTTGTCCTCGACGAATATTTACCTACGTCACAGACTGTTCAATCGTTCAGTATTGCGTCAAAATCCCTTTTAATTGAAGACAAATTATTCAGTCTAGGATAACACATAATATTCGATCTTTCTATGCCTTTCACTATAATGAAATATCACTGAATCAAACTTACCAAATGCGTCTTATTATTCCTCTCGCAACGACGCTGCCGCAATTACGACTCCTAAGAGCACAGGCAGACAACCCTGTGATTTGAGGCCGCGTGACGTCAGTTATTTGATACGCTTGTTGAACACAAAAGCCCTTTCTTTTGTACCGAAATGGGCGACTCTCTAAAATGGGATCTTTTCATCAAAGTAAGCGGTCAGATAACAAGTGATACGCTGTGGAAGTAAGGTGAAATATTTTTATTGAGAATTTGACCTATTTTTTAATTCGTTAAAGCGGTCGTAAATATTCCCATACAGGCTCTTGTAATTCCGCCATGACTGTTATTGCGCTAGATGATCATCTCACAGCTGGAGCTTGGGTCGCCTGTGATTGAACTCTTACATTATTTGTAATTTGCAACAGTTGATCTCGGCAAGACGCAAGTGATCCCGAGAACTGTTTTATAAATTCGCAAATCGAAACATTTCATCCCCAACATCCGCTTCATGACAGTCAGATGAATAAAGTTCACTTACCTTTGTTTTTCTGTAGGTAATTTAGTGTTAACAACTGGGTTGAAAACGTAAATTAGCCACCGTAAAGAGTAAAAAAGCTGACGTTTCGAGCGTTAGCCCTTCGACAGAGCCATCGCAATGACGAAGGGCTAACGCTCGAAACGTCAGCTTTTTTACTCTTTACGGTGGCTAATTTACGTTTTCAACCCAGTTGTTAACACTAAATTACCTGCTATACTCTCCCACCGACGCAGCACCACAGTTTCTTTAGAAACTTACCCCTTCATTCATTTGTTTTTCTGTGTTGTCTAGAGTGATTTTGGAGGAGTTTGGAACGGTTAATTCCCCACTTTGCACTGCTGCCCCTCCAAAGGCAAAGGAAAAACACAAGGCGTGCAACTTCCAGGACCGTCTGGGCCAAAAGCCTCTAGAACTTCGCCGAATTTCTTCCGCTTCCAAATGTCGCTCACCTCCCAGCTTCGGGGACATTAAAAGTCGATTAACGTGTAAGAGCCAAGCCAAAAATCTGTGCAATTGACCGCCTCTAACCACCTCAAAAGCCTACTCGATTTCCGACATTCGCGCACCATCTTGCTGAATTTATGAAACATTTCTCGGGATCACTTGCGTCGACATTCGCTCACCGTCTTGCCGAATTTATGAAATCGTTTCAAGTGATTCCGAGAAATAGCATTTCTTGGGATCACTTGCGTCTTGCCGAGATCGACCGTTGCAAATTACAAACAATGTAAGAGTTCAATTAGCGTATTAAATAACTGATGTCACGCGGCCTCAAAGACACTGGGCTGTCTGCCTGTGGTAAGAGTCATTACGGGAGACAGCAATACCCCGTGTGGGGTAGTGAGGGGTTGGATGCGTCCCTGTCCTTCTGAACAGATTGACTCACTTGCCAACGCGTGATTCCGACGGAGCAAAAATATTTCCGAGTTTGTTTTAATTTTGAGCGTTTTCATACAAAATTTACATCAGAACAGGAGGTCATGAATTTAACATTTACGAATCCCTCTAACCAGTAATAGGTCCACCAAGAGAAAAAACTGCATACAAAGTATGAGCTTGCAAGGACTTTTTATTTTGTTCCAGCTAGGTTTGGAAAGAAATCGATCAAGATGTTCCACCTGATCGCTACTCACTTTACAGGTTAGCAGGTTCTCCAGGTAAGCGGATGTAGAGACAGAAAAATGATACCAAAACAACTCCTTTCTCACTTCGATTCTGCTACAAAACTGTTTTGAAACATAATAACCTAACGCTTTTAAATCAATGTTTAGAATTAATGTCAATCGCGATTCTTGTCATTCAATAGATCTAACAATAAGAGGCAACGTTTACTTGATAAATGAAACATCTACTTACCAAAGCACACGCCTTTCGTGGCACATCTACACCGAAAGGAACTGAGCTATTTTGGAACAGGTTGGTCCACGAACTCAAAGATGAAATAATAAAATGCCGTCAAACAAGCTCTCAACAGTTATTTAATGCAATGAAAAGCTTGATATTTCATAATATGCAAAACTGTCAAAATGAGCATGCCCAAGGTGATCATTAGAACCCTGAAGACAAGAATCTGACGCATAAGTTTGTAAATGATAACGTAAACACCTTCGAGCCACCAAGAAACAGATAGTCATCACGATCGTAAAATATCGCAAACGAGGGAAAGGGAAGCGCTTGTATTACAAATAATAAGTTTCGACCACTTACCGGTACATATATTTAGGCTACATCGAAAGGACAAACAAGCTAACTACGTGTATAAGTTCATTCTTAGGAGGAAAATTTAAGTTAAATATGTTACATACCAGTAACATTTAACGCTAAAACTATTTGTAGATGCTTCGAAGAACGATGGAAACGGCACCCTACTATATAAATAATTTACCTTGAAGTCAATGGTAGATTCGTTTCGTATCTGAAGAAAGGAAGCAAAAAAAAGAAACAGAGCTCTAAATACAAGAGTTGAGAAATGAACGGTACCAAAAAAATTTCCTCGTACTGTTGTTCAGTTGTCGCAAATGCTAAATCTTCACCGGGTTCTAATCTCACTGTTAAACTACGAGCCAAGCGGAAAAATACATTTCAGTTGTATTCCAGTTTTCAAGCATGTCCTGAGGCCATAATTAAACGCTCCTTGGAGCTACCTCATTGTATATTTTAATTAAGTGGTGAGAATACTGCGTGACGTACCTTTAATTAAATAACCACTTGATTTACATTAAATTTAAAAGCGTTCGCCGGATGGCTATGGGTATAATTTTAACCCTTTAACTCCCAAGATCTCATTAGCAATTCTCCTTACTGCCTATCAAAGGATTTTCATCTTATAAGTTTGAAGAACTTGGTATCGCATCAATTAGTAGTCCTATAATTGATATTTTTCTTTATTCTCATAACTTGTCTGCAAGGAGAAATTTTGTCTTGGTCAGTCACGCCATCTCCTTCCAATATTGCGTGACGCACCCCTAAATTTCAGGTTGATTATTAACTTTGAAAGCGGTTTGAGGTTTCAGGTAACCCTTTACGCCCTAGCTACCATCAATAAGCACATTTCCTAAGATGGTAACAAGGAGAATTTGTATAACAATCAAGAGCTTCTTCAGTAGGTGATCAATTCCTTAATTCTTGTCATCTTGATGTTTAAATATGGGCTGATATTGTAGGGAGAAATTTTATGCTGGTCACTTAGTTACAGGTTACAGGGTTAAACGTATATTTTAGAGTATGACAGCCAAACAGTCGAAAAATATCGGAGAAAGA